TTGCAAAACCCATGCGGCAGCGATTGCGATGAGTGCTTAGCGTTGGCTGGTGCGCATCTGCGGCCGCGATGGCCCGCGCGTGCTCGCGCGCGAAGCGGCCGCGTAGAGTGGCGCGGCCGACGCGGCCGCGGCGGCGCTGACCGCCGGGCACGTCCCAGCGGGCGTTTCAGTGCGAGGCGAGTCGGTGATTCGGGCGGGCGCGGCATCATGGCAACGCCGACAACGGTTGACGTTATGGTGGCTGTACCGATGGTGGCGACGATGGCGACGACATCAATGCCAGGGCCAGTGACGGCGCCGATGCTGCTGATCGTGTCGACGACGATGACGGCGTCCTCGCGTCGGCGGTGAAGCTTTTGGATGGAGTTCGACATGCGCGCGCGGCCGACGCGCGAGAGTGGCCCGCGTGGTCATGCTGGAAACGGATGGCCCCACCCCCCCAGCGCGCGGGGGGGTTCGAATGATTTCGACGCGAGGCGCGAAAGGCATGTTAGGACGAAATTGATGACCACGTTGACCAGAGCCGGCGGCTCCCGCCAGGAATCGCAGGCTCGCGAACGCACGTTGTGTCTTGTTTGGGAAAAAACAATTTAAACATACAGACGCACATAGAGTTCTGGAAACTGACGTTGCGCAACCACATATGTATATATGTTTGTCTTTTTATAGAAACATGTATGGTACACTCGATTTCTAGAGGATGACCGAATGCGCGCGCGACGACGCGCACGCGTGTACTTCGTGTTTTTTGTTTGGGCAAGTGGTTCTCGCGACAGCGCGCGCGCAGGGGCTCTCGAGCGATTTCAACGTGCGCGCGCGAGAGGCGCGTTTGGTAGCATGTTATGAACGTGCTGCGAACGACGCATTCCTGAGAATTTGCAAGATCGCGAGCGCGGGCTGTTTTGCCGTGGAACGTTCGCGTTGCGAAACCATGTGTTGTTACGCATGTTTTTGGGGCATTCGGTTTCAGAAACCTTGCGAAACCGACCGTTTCGTCAGGATTTCGGCATGCGCGCGCGACGACGAGCGCGCGGCGCGTGCCTTTGGCACGGGGTCTTGAAAGCGGATGATTTTTTTATAAACGAGTGCGCGCGCACCGTTATTTATATTTCGCAGCGGATGCGTGCGCGCGGGGGGGGGGGATGCCGGCCCGCCTGGGATGGTGCGAGCTCGTGTTGAGGATGGGCGATGGGGCTGGATCGCATGTAAAATCGAATGCGAGAAACCGGCCCGTTACTTCCAGGGGGGGTCAGATCATACTTTTTCAGAAAAGGAGAATGTGTGGTGGCGCAACTCACGCGGTGCAATATACGCAGTGCGATCGATCCTGTGCAATTTACGTGGTGCAATTTGTGTGATGCATCGTATGTGGTGAGCCTTATGCGGTGCAATCAATTTTGTTCGCAGTGACGTGTCGGCCCCATAGCCCGCGCTATCGTCCCACCCGCCCACCTGCAATTTCATTTGCAAAAACCATCCGGCGGCGATTGCGATGACTGCTTGGCGCTGACTGGCGCATCGCTGCGGCTGCGCTAACGCGCGCAGGCTCGCGCGCATAGCGGCCGGTGAGTCTGGCGCGACCGACGCGGCCGCGGTGGCCTCTACCGCCGGAGACCTCCCAGCGCGTCTCGCAGACCACGCTGACGCGCGGGCGCGTCATTCACTGCGAGTCGGTGATTCGGGCGGGCGCGGGGTCATGGCAACGTCGACAATGCCAGACGCGACGATGACAGTGGCGAGGCTGGCGACGACGATGACGATGACGACGGCAGTGCCAATGACGGTGCCGATGCTGCTCGCGCCGATGACGACGATGGCGTCCACGTGTCGGCGATGAGGGTTTGGGAGTGATTTCGACGCGCGGACACGGGCTACGCGCGCGATTGGCCCGCGTGGCATTATTTGACAGGGGTCTTGCCCTCCCAGCCAGCGCGCAAAAGGCGTTCGAATGATTCCGACATGCGCGCGCGAGGGGCCCTTTTGGTCGGATTTGACGGCGATGTTCAAACAGTCGCGGTCTTCGTAAAACTTCGCAAGACCGCGCAGCGCGCGCATGTTCTTGCGTGAAACATGTTGCACAATCAATGCTGTTTATGGAAATCGTACGCGCACGCGGGGTGAACCAGGCCCTGCTGGGATGGTATGAGTTCACGTGTACATTGAACCATTGGGCAGACTCGCATGCAATTAAAGATGCACGAGGCCGGCCCGTTAATCCCCAGCGGTGGTTGCGGCAGATCCAAAATTTTATTTCATATTGAAAATCTAGGCAATGCATTTACGCTGTGCAATTCACTTGTGGAGCTCGCAGTTGTCAACTCTCACCCCGCCCATCCGCCCGCAACTTGTCTTGCAAAACCCATGCGGCGGCGATGGCCATGCATGCTTGGTGTTGGCTGGTGCATCTCTGTGGCCGCGCCAGCCCGAGCATGCACTTGCGCGCAGCGGCCAGCTAGATTGGCGCGGCCGACGCGGCCGCGGCGGCGCTGACCGCTGAGCATATCCCAGCGGACGTTTCAGTGCGAATCGGCGACTTGGGCAGGCGCGGTATCATGGCAGCGTCGACAGTAGACACAATGACGATCGTAGCGGGGCTGGTGGCGATGTTGACAACGACGACGGCCCGGCCAGTGACGGCGCCGATGCTGATCACGGCGGCGACGATGACGGCGTCCTCGCGTCGGTGACGAAGGATTTTGAAGGAGTTCGACACACGCGCGCGGCCGACGCGCGAGCGTGTCCCGCATGGTGCTATTTGACGCGGGTCGCCCCCCTTTTCCCCAGCACGCGCGCAAGGGCGTTCGAATGATGTCGGCATGCGGCGCGGGATGCTCATGTGTCAGAATTCCATGCGCATGTTGAAACAACTGTGAGTTTCAGAAAGATTCGCGCGAATGCGAGCGTAGTTGTTTGAAAACTGTTGTTGCGACGCCAGTTTCGGGGCATTCGGTTTCGAAGCCTTTACGACACCCAGGGTTGTTTTTGCGCGTACGCACTTTGTCTACATTCGTTGCAAAGGATCCTTGCGACAGCATGCGCGCAAAAAGGCGTTATAACGAATTCGGCATGAGCGCGCTCGAAGCTCGTTTGGTAGCATTGCGTGAGCACGTTGAACAAATCTTTGTTTGTTGTTTAAAAATGAATGACCCCGCAAGCGCGCGAGCACAAACTTCTTGTTGTTATTGAACATCTCTGTTGAAGAAGCATGTTTGTTGTTGTCAGGCGGTCTCGAAATCCCTACGGCACCTAACGTTGTTGAAGGATTTCGGCATGCGCGCGACGACGCGCGAACGTGCATTTCGTCATGGTTTTTGCACGTTGTTTTTGAAATCCCGCGATGTGCGATCAACGAGTTTGCGTGCACACATGTTTTGCAGAGGATGAGCGGGGGTCGATGCTGGCCTGCCTGGGATGGTATGGGTTCATATTTAGACTGGACGATGGGGCAAACTCGTATGTAGATTGCACTGCGAAGCGGTGGGTGGATAACCCCCGTGTGGGGGGTGAGGGTAGAGTCTATGTTAAACAAATTAAAGAAATGATAATCTACGCGTTGCAAACTAAGTCTAAGTGGTGCAACCTACCACTGACAGTCTTTGTGGTGTTCGCTATGCGGCAGCGGCGACGGGCGGCGACGGCGACAACAAACGCGGCGACCGCCTTCCAGGCACAGACGCAGCGGCGACGGACGGCGGCAACGGCGACAACAAGCGTGGCGACCGCCACCCAGGCCCAGAAGCAGCCGCGACGGACGGCGGCAACGGCGACAACAAGCGTGGCGACCGCCACCCAGGCCCAGAAGCAGCGGCGACGGACGGCGGCGACAGGGCGGCGACGGCGACAACCAGGGCGCCAAACCGCCACCCAGGCCAATACGACAGGCGGCGACGAGGTGGTGACGGGGCGGCGACGGCGACAACATAAGATCGCCGTCATAAACCACAAGTAAGAACCCTTACGTGCAAACACTGTTTGGAGATCAGTGCGAGTGATTTGCGGTCCCCCGCCCGACATCATCATCAGCCACCCTCCTATTTCATTGGTCTGCATTAGGAGGGTCTGTGCGTCAATGCGCCATTTGGGATGTGAACACCTCGATTGGTAACTGCACTCGTTCCTTCGTGAGTTTTGCCAGCAATTCGCGGGTGGGTGGGTGGGATGCTGTTCGGGCGTTGGAGTTGACACCCCACGTTCTGCAGATTCTGTAAGCCAGTGCACCGCGCAGACGGCACCGCATAACTCGCATTGTAAAGGTTGCGCGCCCATTGGACGCACCCTGTTGGTTCCACTTCATCAGCTGCACGGCCTTTTTGACGTGTCTTCCTTGGCATCATTATCATGTGTTTGTGCATGTACGTCTGGCAACACGTTCTTTGGGGTCGCGAAGACTGCTCAGGGTAAGAACCGCTTGATTTTGCTCATCGGAACGATCCTGAATTGGCCCTGGCCGCTGTATTTCTCATGCGGTACGTTGCTACTCCCGCGTAGCAGTGCGCTTCAATGGACGTGTCGGGGAAACCCGCTTTCGCGAACCTCATGACGCCGCGGGATGCTCATAGTCATGAGAGTTACGATCAGCCAGGGATCACCTGACCCAGATATAGCGCGCAACAAGGGCACCGTTCGGGGGTCGTGGGTCTGCTACCACCCCCCCCGAGCTCCTCATAGGCCCCCCCCCTGATGGAAGTCTGTGCGCTGGAAGACTGGACAGCCCTCATCTCCGTCAGTCTTGCAGGGCGTGCTTGAGCTTTAAAGCATCGACCGCGTTCCCCTGCCGAGCCTGCCCAGACATCCTCCGTCCTAATCGTTGCACAGCGTGACCCTCCAGAGGTCTCATTCTTGGCGGTCCCGGGGCCTGGTGAAGTCCCCCTGAGGCCGAAGAACGCCCAAAACCTTCCGTCGTGGTTTTATCTCACGCCTGGAGGATGTCAGGGTGTGGACGGGCCCGGCGCTGCTGGCCCTCTGGCTCTCGACTCCCCCCGCCTTCTGCCGTCGCCCAGGCGGCCCCATTGGCACAGCGGGCTCGGCGGGCATCATCGCTGACCCGACGACGACGCTGCCGCCAGTTCCAGAGCACCATCTGCCGTCAGCCGGCGGCAGCCACGCTGGTGCCAGCGCCGCCCCGTGCCGCCTGGGAGCGGGTCGCACCAGCCAGGGGCGGCAAAAGTAATTACCGACGCCGCTGCCCCTCCCTCGTTTTCGCCCCTCTTGGCCTCCTGGGAGGCCCTTGTCGCCACGGCGGGATTGGCCTCGGAGTTCTGGTCCACCCCAGGAGAGGTTTGGGACCGAAGACGAGACGCGCGTGAGGAGGTGGGGTTTGCCGTCTTCGGCGTTGGGTGCGTTTTGTTGTTGTTGTCGTTTTTTCTCCGCGTGCGTCGTGCTGCCACGTGGATGGATTTTCGACCCAGGTCTGGTGCGGTGCGCAATGTTCTGGCTTCCAGGTCTGGACAGACTATGCACCATACCGCCTTGGAGTTGCGCCCACGGAAGTTCAAACATGGTGCGATACATGGTTGCCGCTTTCGTAGAGCATCAGCGCCATGGCATTCATTATTAGTCGCCGATTTCACAGTGCAGCGCGTGGTGCGGCTATCCACTCAGTCATCACCATCGCCAATCACCGCGGTCGTCCTGCACGCGTCCGTCCCGCTGCTGGAGGTGTTTTTTCCGTCCGCCGCCATCCTCCCAGACTCCAAGCGCAGACGTGCTCTTGTGTCATCAGGGTGGGTTCCTTGTTCCTGTCTTACCAGATTTTCCCCTGACAGTGCTTGCACGTAGTAGTTCTGACTTTTTTCTTTTTGAAGGAACTGAGCCTGGGTGTCGGTCCCGCCGCGCTTGTTGTCGCCGTCACCGCCCGTCGCCGCCGTCCGTCGCCGCTGCTTCTGCGCTTGGGTGTCGGTCGCCGCGCTTGTTGTCGCCGTCGCCGCCGGTCGCCGCCGTCCGTCGCCGCTGCTTTTGCGATTAGGTGTCGGTCGCCGTGCTTGTTGTCGCCGTCGCCGTCGCCGCCGGTCGCCGTCGTCCGTCGCCATTTTGCATTGCTTTGCATTGTTGTGCATTGCACTTCATGGAATTGCATTGCTTTGCACTGCCTTTCATCGCTTTGCATTTGTTTGTATCGCTTGACATTGCCCCGCATTGCCTTTCATTACTTTGCATTACTTAGCGTTGCTTCGCATTGCTTTGCATTGCGATGCTTTGCATTGCTTTGCATTGCTTCGCATTGCTTTGCGCCACATAGATTGCACCGCATACCATATAGCATGCACCACGTATATTGCATTACCTGGTACGTTAACAAAACACTGTCTGGGGTTCTTTCTGGCTAACATTGGTTCCAATTCGAGACGCTCCGTGTATCCCCACCAGCTGCATTCCGGCGTTGGCTTTTGGCCCGCTGGCAATTATCTTGCTTGCTTCGTCGTGTTGAGCTGGCGCCGTTTCGGCGACTCCTCGCACTCTTCCCGCGCCCGTTCCCACCTGTCGACGCTAAGATGCGTCTCCTTGAATTAGTTCGTTTCTGTGCATGTGCACCTGCGAGCATGCTTGCAGGTGCGGTCGGCTGTCGACAGTGACGGCTGGGTTCGCAATTATCTGGCTCTGTGCCCCAGACGACCTGATTGACCCGCCCTCTGGAACCGTCCTTTGGGCCGCAGATCAAAAAAACGTATCCCCACCAGCCCATCCAGAAACGATGTCCAGGCGAGTTGAGGTGATCAGGGAAGTGCGGGAGCAGAGAGGGGGACGGCCGAACCGTGCGAGGGAGGGAGGAGGAGAAGGAGGAGGCTGGATGGATGGATGATGGAGTGGGGACGAGGAAGATGAATAGGATGAGGAGGAGGAGGAGAAGGAGGAGGAGGAGGAGGAGGACGAGAAGGAGTAGGAGGAGGAAGGAGGAGCAGGAGGAGGAGGGCAAGCAAAAGGCCCAGAGGTCTCTTGGATGCCTCTCGGAGCCTCTTGGGATATCTCTTGGGCGCTTCTTGGAGGCCTCTTGGGACGTCTTGGGGGTCTCTTGGCGGCCTGGGTGGCTCTTGTGCGTCTTGTGTGCCTCGGGTCCTCCTGGGGGCCCTCCTGAGGGCCCCTTGGGGGCCTCTTGGGGCCATCTTGGGGCCATCTTGGAGCCTCTTGGGGCCTCCTGGGCGCTTCTTGGGGCCATCTTGGAGGACATCGATCAAAGAAGGGGGGGTTCTTAAATAGCGTTGCCCCCCCAAGAGGCCAAAATGTGGCCAAAACCTTAGTAAAACCAATGACGTAGGCGTCCTCGCCACGGCCGTTGTGGACGCCCTGACACCTCGCGACCGGCCCCGTCCAGGTCCAGGGGTGGGTGTGGGGGGGAGGGGTAAACCCCTCCCTGAAGGGGAAGAAGGGGTTGGAAGAGGAAACGCTCTATGTAGACCACCTACACCCAGAGGGCTTGTGGAATTCGTCAGAAACGCAGGCCCACGTGAATAAGAATTGTGCGTGTGACCAGGCCCCCGTCCCCTACCAATTCGTTTTGACATTACCCCGAGTCTTGTAATTTCCATGGTGAACCACGATTCTGCTTACACAGATTAATGGTGACGCTGCGCATCTTCATCATAGCCATCATCAGGGGCACCACGTTTTTATCCAGACGGTATTTGTGTTCACTATGTCTTACGACCATGACATTGGTTGTTATTGTGCAGTCACGAGGACGGCTACTGTGTACGTGCGTACAGATACGAACACGATTCGGAACACACATGTGATAATGGTATCAATTGTGGTCGTGTCTACGATTCTTCGCCAGTGTACACTTCGGCTCAAGCTTCGGCTGTAGGATTTTCCCCGCCCGTCCTCGGGCGAGCTGCGGTCATGGCGAAGGTGGCTTCCCAGCACATGGTGGTCAAAGACGGTGATGCCAGGGATCTGACCAGGATAGGCTCCCAGCCCAGCATTGGTGAACAGCCTTGCATCGGTTCGGGCCGGAGCCTGCGCAGCCAACAGGCCATGCTGCTTCACGGGCTATCAGCCCTCATGGACAGCACGCCTACTGTATATGCGGAGGCCGCGCGCAACAGAGACGATTACCAGAAGCAGCTTGTCCAGAAGCTCGAGGAGACTGTGAGGCTCACCGGGAATGTCCGGGCCCACCTCTTGCAGAAGGCCGGGCACGTGAGGGAGACCGCGGACTCCTGCACCAGCAAGTTCGAGCACGAGATGGCGTATGCCAAGAATCGGCTGTCGGACGAGCTGGCCGAGATGGCCGTCGAAGTCGGGCGGGGCGTCGACGAGCTGGAGCACCGCATGGGCCAGGCGGAGGCAGCCCTCGAGGAGCAGCGCCGAAGGCGCATCGAGCACATCGAGGCGACGCTGGGCCCAATCCGCGACGAGGCCGCGCGGGTCTCGGACGCCCTGGTTGGCGAGCGGAGGGCGAGGAGGCTGCAGGAGGCGGAGCGGGAGATGCTCCTGGCGGTCGAGATCGAGGCGCTGACTTCCCTGATGCCAGAGAGGAAACGGGGGCGTAGGCACAAACTGTCGGAGGTCCGAGCGGCCCTTGCAGAGCGGCGCTGGACCCCTTTGGCGCGTTCCGTGCGCCAGGGAGGGGGCGCAGCGCCGATCCGGGGAATCCGCTCGGCCCCCCTGAGAGTGTGTGTTCTGTGCGTTTCTTTTCCATGTCCGGTCATAGACAAGGAGAAGTTCGGGCAGGAGCTCCAGCTCAAGGACGTAGCCAGGTGGGCCGACGCGCAGGAGCAGCGCGTCGCGAAGCACCAGTGCCAGCTGGACAAGGAGACCCGCGTGCACGTGGCGTCCATCAGGGCGGAGCACCAGGCCGCGGCGAGGGCCCGGGTCGAAAGGCAGCACGCCATTTCCGAGAGCATCGCGTCCTTCATCAAGCGGTGCCGTGAGAAGATGGACGCTCGGGCCTGAGCCTGGCGCGACTCCGAGGATGCTGTGCGGGGTCCAGCCTGCAGCCGTCACCGCAGCGACGCAGGAGGACAAATGCTTCTCTGTGCTCGTTTCTCCCGCAGGCGTCCCGCAGTCTTTGTCGCGCCGGCCTCGGCCTTCCCCAGGAAGGCGGCTGCGTGCAGGGCGCATCGAGAGGTCCGTCCTCAAAGGGACTGGTGGCCTGAGTAGATCCCGCGAAGAGCTCTGCGGACGCTGCCCTATCAAAACACAGTAACTATGCTTCCTGGTCTGGTGAAGGCATGATGTACGGCCAGGTCATAGGCATGAAGCCTATGATCCATATGATGCAGATTACGGCGGATCGTCTGTTTATGGTCAGAATCACCGTTCACACGCGTATGTCTGCGCTCATGATCATGACCATGACTGGTGTCTCGATTATTTAGCTGCCTGCGGTAAACCCCGCCACCGTACCAGAGCAGCATCACAAATCACTCAGGATGGTTCGACCGAACTTTACTGACAGGCTCGGTAAAACCATCCTGGGGCCGTTTGGGAAGTATCGCCAACTTGGCGCAGCCCTCGTGTTGCATGGTTGTCGCGTTGCGTTTTTGAGGCTTCTTGTACATTTGTTTGAGGCTTACTCTGGGCTTCCTTGGGGCGTCTTGTGCCTCTCTCTTTTGGGTGCTCTCTTAGGGAGCATTTTGGGGGCCTGTTATGGGTCTCTTGGGGGTCGCGGGACTGTCTATGGCGCGATGACCGTATTTTGCTCTCCCACTGAGTCTCGGTTGAACTATCTTGAATCTGTCTGGGCGGATCCTGGGACCGTCTGTGAGGCTTCTTGGCAATTGTAAGCTATCTTGGAGGATTCTGTGGCCATCCACAGAAAGTCATAGGAAGCCAAGCGGAATTGGAGAATCCGATTTGCAGGGCAAGCGGGGGTAGAGATGCCATAGGAAACAGTTGAGAAACAAATGCGAAACACGGGGCCGGTCGAGGTGGAAGCCACGCTGTAGATGGAAGGCTGATGATGCCACAGGAAGCCCACGGCCACCAGACGAAATGAGGCATGCAGGACCGGTGGAAGGGGAAGCCATATGAGTCCATGGGAAGCCAGGCGGCTACCAGGAAAAGTGCGGCACGCAGTGCAAACACAGTAGGGGAATAAGACCAATCATCCGGCGTCCTTAGCCATTTTACTGACGAGATTTTGCTTCATTCGGCGAAGCAAGCTGGA